AGCGGACTGACCGGAAACCCAGTTCCAGAGACCGAAAGAAAACGAAACCCAATGCAAACATTCGAGTATCAGAAACAAGAGCACTCAAAGTGAAATGTCAGCTCATTGTTGGAAGGAAAAGCTGGACGGGCCTTTGATTTGTGGCCGCCACAACGCATCGCATCGCATCAGTTTCGGTGGATGTGGATGTGGATGGGGCACGCATTATGCAGATCTTGTCCAGTTTGGGTTTCAAGTTCAATACAAAGTTCACGCCACGCAACTGTGAATGACTGACCGAAAGTGGGGAAATTACCAAATGGTTTCCAGATAACCAATATCTGTATACTCTTCCTCAAAATTTGTGATTCATAAGTAAATGAAATAAATACTTTTAAATTAAACAATCGATTGAGGAGTTATGCGCAGGCAGAACTTTTCTCAGTAGTGATCCTTGAAAAATAACTGCAATTCAAGGAAGTCCCTCCTCAGAGCTACCTCCACTCAAATCTGAATCTTTCATATGGGAAACTACTTAATAGTTTGATCTAATTATAGGGTCTTCATAGAATATAGTAGGTTTCTTGAAACGAATGTGATAAGTACAAACAAAACATTACTCATAGAAAAGGAATTAGAAACTTCCTTATGGTGGGAAAAATATAAAGAAATCGTAGGTGTCTCCGTTCCCTGAAACTTAATACGCTGCTCATTAATATCCCCGTGTTTATACAATTAATAATACCCCATAATTACATCACTTGAGTATCATCGATGTGGGGTAAATACAGAGACCAAAATAAACAAGCAAATTTGGCAATGGAGTGCGACATGGGGCATGCATTATGGATTGTTTTAGGCCGCTATTATATAGAATCCATTAGGCATTAGCCGAAAGTGAAGAAAGTCAAACAAGGTGGAGGTTGGAGGCCGGAGCTGTGAAAGAAGCCCCTGGCCCCAAGCCCTAGGCCCCATTTCATTGAATGTACTCGCACTTGCACTCGCAGTCATATGTTTATTGTTTAATTGTCGAAACCTGTTAACTAAACAGTTTACTTGATCCACAGCCGGTTGGATGGATGGATGGATGGATGGGTTGGACGCACGCGTCCAAACACTGTCTGATGTGTCACAATAGAAATTAGCGTAAACTGTTTTAACGCCAGGCATACGGGCACCGCCCCTGGGACTTACTTGCCTTGGGCCGATCCGTCGGGCTGGGGTTGGGGGGCATGGCATTCACGTACTTGAGTCTGGGTATCTGGTGGGTATCCGGTGGTCAATGCCGCCACTGGGCCAGTGGAGCGTCAGGCCAACCGGTCCATTGATGAAATGGTCTCGGGCAGTAAGTTAAATGAAGTCCAATGATACGAGTATCGTATGTGCACAGCATTTACAACCCCTTGCGCAGATGTTGGTGGGTTATTAAAAAGCCATATAAGCAAACAGAAAACGCTCTCCAGGTCGTGGACGCTCCACTGAATGGATTGTGTGAGAGTGAGAGACTGGGAAGTGGTTCCCCAGAAAGGGGCATACACCGGGGCTGACGTCGTCAATTGTCTTTCGAGTACGTAAACATAAACACCAGAAAACCGACACACACCATCCATAGCTTTTCAAACTTCCATGGGCACTACTACGCTGGGGTATGGTATGGTGTGCCGTGCCGGTGCCAGTGCCAGTACTTCGACTGTCTGGGGGGCAGAGGCCGAGCCGAGCCGGGCCGGGCCACATCCTAAATAAGCAGACGACCGTTTTCATTAGGCAACAGGTTATTGCAATTCAGCGAAAACAACGGCGACATACGACAGACTACAATACGAGCCAAGCAGCCACCGCCACACTCAGAGTCTGAGCCTGAGCCAAAAAAAAAAAAAGAAAAAATGTAAGTAGCTCCCAAAAATGTATACACTGCTCAAAATCAATTGTATTTCATGAATACATTGTACGTATGTGATGTGCATAACTTTCAGTGGGTTCCGTTCCGTATTGTTGCACCTTTTGAGAGTATTTATCATCCTTTATCTTCCAGTTGGTTTGTCTCTTGCATATCCAAGTGGGGTTCGGTTCCTGTTACTTCGATTGATCAACTGTCGATCATGTATAGGTATAGATATGACTTATCCAGAGATAATGCAACCAAATGAATCACTGAATTTAAATATTTATATTCAGGGAAAGCTCCCTTGAATGCAATAGCGAGGTGTGACCCCAAGATTGACAGAGATTCGATCTGTAAATCCAAGTGTTGTCCGTGAGAAGAGCTTTACCGGTATTACGCATGCGAGTATGATCTACCTATGGGTTTCTCCCTACGACAAGGTCAATTCCACTTTCTTCTCGCATTTCTCAGAGCTAAAATTGAAGCTTTGATGCCGCCCACTGTACGGGAGCGGCGTTGACACCTTTGGGTAGGGAGCGTTCTCTCTTTCATTAAGCTGTTATAATTGCTCAAATTGCCATGGCGGAATGCCAAGTCATTTGGGGAGGCAGTTCCGGGGGCGGCGTGTGTAGGTGTGGCGGGGCGAGCTGTGGATATTATGCACAGTGTACGTACAGCTCTGTACTTTCTGCCAGAGAGCAGCAGAAACAGCAGAGACGGAGGTGGCTTTTGGATGCGCCGATGTTTTTGGGCGCTCAGGTACTACGGCATGCAGGTGGCTGGAACAGCAGAAGCAGCAGCAGCGGCGGCGGCTTAGTGGCAGGCAGACAGCAGGCCGGTTGGAGCTTGGCTTGGCGCTGGGTAACAAGCCCTGCGAGTCGCGGACGCATGCGCAGTCGATAAAGCACATTCGAATCGAACGTTAGCAGCGGTACCGCCGGGCCGAGCACGAGAGCACGAGACCACGAAAACGACGAAAAATAGCGGCGTAAAGCGACGGCGACGAACGACGAACGACAACGGCACTTTGATTGCAATTTTCATTCATATTCATTCATGCGAACGTATGTACGAGTAGTGCGACTGTTTCGGCCTTTTTGAAAGCTCTTCTGGCGGCTGGTCTGCTGTTCGGCCGTACTTTCTTTTCGCACTCACGATCCCCAGTCCCATTCGCAGTCCCAGTCCTAGGTAGCAATCCCAATCCTTGGGCAGCTGGGGCACCGCGTGGCAGCCAGCTTTCGTTTTCGATCGATACGAGGCACGACCCCGTTCGGACCGGTTCAGGCTTCTACGGCTGCGTTACTTAATCCCCACCACATCCCAGCAGCGTTCATGTAATCATAATCCTGGACAGCCATGCGATCGCTGCCTCTGCCTCTGGATATCGTCGGGCTGGTGTCGCTGATCGTTGTCGCTATGTGGTGGCTGCAACAGGTGACGGCCACCCTACGTCAATCCCGCGAAATTATCATAACAGATGCGGTAGGTATCCAGCGGGGCGCCTCAATCGAGGGGGGGTTCGGAGCGTATCGGATCTGGGGAGGCCCTGGCGCGCACAGCGGCTCGCTCGCAGAATTCCTAATTACCTGAATGTCACAACGCACGCGTCTCGTGGCCTCCAAATGTCAAGCAGTATACGAATAAATGTGCCAACATTTTGTGTGTTTCGTTTGTGTTTCGACTTTTGGGCTTCGCCTCGGATCGTGTGTGTTGTTTGCACAGAGTGAGACAAACTTCCTGGCTCCACTCCACCACTAATGATGTGTCGTTGCAGGTGCGGCGCATACAGAACGATGGCTACAACGTCGAACGCCACACGGTGACAACAAAGGATGGCTATGTGCTGACGCTACATCGCATACCGCAGGTGGACCCCAATGACGGCACAGTGCTGCGCCGACCTGTTGTCTTCCTGCTCTCCGGCCTGTACGCCTCGTCGGATGTGTGAGTAACACCAGAAGCAGCGCTGCTTCCGCTTGCCCCAGATACAAGAACACTCGCGAACTGCATTTCCCATTTCCCTTGCAGCTGGCTGCTGAACGGACGCGAAGATTCGCTGGCCTATCTGCTGTGGCGCGCCGGCTACGATGTGTGGCTGGGCAACAATCGGGGGAACATTTACTGCCGGCATAACCTCTGGATGAACGCCACAGAGAGGGAGTTCTGGAACTTCAGCTGGCACGAGATGAGCATCTACGACATGCCCGCCCAGGTCGACTACGTGCTGCGAGCCAGCGGTGTGGCGAGGATGCACTTCGTGGGCATCTCGCAGGGCGGCACCATCTTCCTCGTGTTCAACTCGATGATGCCGCAATATAATACGGTCTTTAAGACGGCCACCCTGCTGGCTCCGGTGGCCTATGTGAGTAATACGAAGAGCGGGCTGGCCAAGATCGTCGGACCCATACTGGGGACGCGCAACTACATCTCCAAGATGCTCGAGGGCGTCGAGATGTTCTCCACGAACAAGTTCTTCAAGAAGCTCCTCTCAATGACCTGCCTGGATAACGAGAAGCCGCTGGTGTGCATCACGCGTCTCTGGCCCGCCGTTGGCTATGACACTCGGTTCCTTAACAAAACCCTTCTGCCGGATCTGATGGCCAACTTCCCCACTGGCGGATCAGTCAAGCAGCTGATGCACTACTTCCAGGGCTACGTGTCCACCAAGTTCCGGCAGTACGACTACGGCCCGGAGCGGAACTGGCTGCACTACCAGCAACTGGAGCCGCCGGAGTATGCCCTGGAGAAGGTGTCGACGCCCATAACCATTTTCTTCTCGGAAAACGACTACATTGTCGCCCCGGCCGACATCTGGAAGCTCTTGACGCGGCTGCCCAATGTCGAGGCCGCGTACAAGGTGCCCTGGAAGCGATGGAATCATTTCGATTTCATCTGCGGCCTGGGGGTACGAGAATACATCTTCGACAACATAGTGGTATCCATGAATCGCTACGAGCACCGACGACGTCGCTAGAGATGCCCTCGAAATGGATGGAAAGGCCAGAGAAGGGCTGCAGCCAGAACTATCAATAGTGCCAAAAAAAATAACTTGTAAATTTACGAACTAGAGTCTTTGGTTGATCCGGCGATCAACTCTGAATCAACGCGTACTGATTAATAAATAAATAATATATTTAGCTTAGAGTAGATCCCAAATCACATCGATAGACTTCATTTATTTATTTCGGTCCGTTTCGTACTTACTGATGAGCTTTACAATCGGCCTATTCAGAGTTGTACCCACAGCACGTGCAAACTGAAACTCAATGTGACTATAATACGGAATATGATGTAGTTCACACAAGGACAATTTCTCTGCCAGAAGGAGCACATTCTCCTTGGATACCACAAAGTCAGAGGAGCTGTAGTAGAGATTGATCGGAGACTTTGGCTTCACATACTTCAGGGGATAATCGGGCGGCCATGAGCTCCCATAGATAAGCCTGTTCGTCTTTTTGCCATGATCGTACATACAGAATCTCGAAGACCTTTTTAGTTGCAGGTAATGCTTCAGCTGTCTCGACGAGATCCCCGCCGGAAGGGTTTTCAGAATAAGCATTATAATAGCCTTTGAGGATTAAATGTGCGCCATAAGTTTAGCATTTGATCAATTGATACTCACTTTGCTGATTTGATCTCCATTTATACCGTATACCATCATAAATAAAGCCGCGCAAATCGATTTCATTGGTCGGACACTGCAAAATATCGAGGCCCAACTGGGTATTCCATGGCGGTTACTAAACCACTCTCGGTCGTCAAATGCCAGGATTACTTTTTCAACGATGCTGCCCAAACCCGTGTTCATGTTTCTAAGAAACGCGGCAGGTGCCGTCAAGTGTGATGTCTTAATTTTTTCGTTATATTCTGGCCGCATACTGAGCATCACGAGAAATTGGGTGGCCCCTTGAGAGTACCCCACATAGTGCAGGGATCTTTGGCTAGTTCTATCCAAAACGTAGTCAATGCTCGCGGGCAGGTCCCTAGTGCCCATTTCATGCCAGCTAAAATTCCAGAAACTTTTGTGCTTGGGATCCATGTATTTGTGTAGGCGAGAGTAGGTGTTTCCCCGTGAGTTTCCCAGCCACACATCGAATCCCGCATCTGCGAGCAAGTAGGGTAGGCCGTCAGAGGGTCCGATCAACAGATAGGAGTCCGAGGAGCCGCTCATTCCATGCATCATAAAGACCACCGGCTTGGGGCTTTGCGCATTTCTTGCGTTGGGCGAATTTGGAATGTGTACTAGCTTTAGTATATAGTTATCGGTTGTTTCCACGGAGTGCTCCTCCACTGGATAATTGTAAGAAGCTAGAATTTCCGGCTAAAATTCCAATTCTAAAGAATACTTATTGAAACATCTTACTATTTCACTCACGCCGGACGTGTACCATGAATATACCAGGAAAAGGCCTATAAACATTTTGTTACCGATGTAATCGATTGCTTTACTGTAACTAACAATCGATCGTAGGAATTTTCAAGCTGTTGGTTCCGCATACAACTTAAAGCCTTGCAAATTCGATTAAGCTGTTACAACAATTCGCTACTGAAAATTGTAGAGATGCAATATCTTGATCATGATGATCTTAGGCTCTGCAAAGATGATTTAAGCAAGGAATTCGTTGTGGAAACAAAGAGAAATTGCAATCCACTTTCTAGGTCGTACCGGAAAGAACTACATTAATTTTAAACTTACGATCGATGATGTTATTTTCATGCAGAAAATTCAATTGTCTCCAGTTCGTACGGTGGGTCTGCCTTAGGGCCGGACAGAACAAAGCAGGATGGATGGAAGTTTTCATAAAAATTACCACTGAGACTTTCGTTTTGTAAGGAGCCCTTCAGTTTAATAGATATCGTATACGCATCTTACTGGTACTACTCTTACTTATTCATTAGCGGTGATGCTGATTAGCTTCGCTTAAACGAGATTCAAAAGCATTGGCAATGTTAACAATATCATTGTTAACATAAAACTTTAGATTATTGCCGAACACATAGTCAATGTGACCCCATTCGGACAATTGATGAGGATGTCCCCGTGCGTTGGGCAAAGAATTGATGGTCAGCAGGACATCCTCCACGGCTGCCATACCATCGTTGTCGCTATAGTAAAAATCAACGGGGCTCAAAGGGTTTACTTCATTTAGCGGATAGTCTGGTGGATCTGAAGTGCCATAGATCGCGAGATTCTCTCTTTTTCCGAAGTCGTAGAGGGCGAATCGGCCGGAATCGATAAGTTGGGCATAATGCTTAATTTGTCGAGTTGAAATACCCGCTGCAGCAGTGGCCGCAATCGCCGGCAATAGTGTCTGGGAAAGATAACTGATATGGTATCGATATGATATGATTAGGGGATAGTGGACATCACAAACCGTATTTAAATGTTTTGAGGGACCGCCAGACATCAGAAAGGCAAAATTTCGGCATAATGTGTGTCTTATAAGAAGTACGCTGCACAGGGACGAAAATATTCTGCTCCAAAATGGAGTATTATACATCAACTCCATGTCGCTCAGCTTCAGGTAAAAATTCTTTATAATTTTGAATAGCTTTGATGGCATTTTTCCGCTGAAAGCAACCGGCCCGAGAAGATGGCTCGTCTTCACTTTGATATTATACTCAGGTCGCATCGAGAGCATCGCCAGAAAAGAAGTAGCTCCCTGCGAGTGGCCCACATAGTGGACAGCCGTTTGTCCAGTCATACTCAGTATAAAGTCGATCGTGGTGGTGGTGTCATATATTCCGATTTCGTGCCAGTCGAACCGCCAGAAATCCTTGTTATTAGGGCTAATGGTCAGGTGCTTACGTGAATAGGAGTTCCCCCGGCTGTTGATCAGCCAAACGTCATAGCCCTCGTCGGCCAGTAGGAATGGCAGACCTTGGTCTGGTCCGATAATCACCCAGTAGTCAGAGGAGCAAGTCAGGCCATGGACGAAAAGGACGGCGGGCTTCGGTCCCGACGTGCTGGGACGGCGAGGAGAGTTCGGAATCCGATAGAGGGCAAGTATGTAACCATCTTGGGTCACCGCCGTATGCTTCTCCACGGGATAGTTGTGCATCCTGATATAGTCGCCCTGGCAGCACAATGCAATCATAAGAATGAAATAGCCCCCAAGACACAGCACTCACCGTATCCTTCAGAGCGACTCCCCCCAATATGTTCACCACAAGAACTATCCACCTTAAGAGGATCTGTGCCATTATACGATTCGATTTCGCCGGGAAATAGTTCGATACTAAATCGATGCAGCGTTAAAATATATACGAGATCTTTTTTGGCATACATTTAAATAGCATTCAAATCAGATGAGATTCAGGTCTTAGTCACGGTTTTTGCGGCGTTTATGTAATCTAAATTTTTAATTTCCACGTGATGCGGAGAACATTAATCCTCGTCCTTCAAAACCATTTAATACCAAGTAACACTTGGAATATACAAATGTTTATAGGGACATGCGACAGGGGGGCATTCTTTATTCTGGTTTATGTGTGTTGCGTTTTTTTTTTTCTGATTTCAGGTGTGTAGAAGGGGGACTGGAAAATATTGAAAATAAACTTGCTCCATCCAAAAAGTATGCAACCAGTATGTATGTACACTCCCCGACACTTGAATACGAGACACTAAATCGTACTCTTCAGGCACTACTATTTCCGGCACAAGCCAAAGTAAACGGTGAACTTAATTTTCCTCAAATCTCTAATTTCAATCTCAAATTTCCGTTCTTAAAAAATGAGACACTTGAATACGATAATCATATAGAAAAATTTTTTATTTTGGATGTATCTTCTATATATCTTGGTACTACTGGTACTACTCTTACTTATTCATTAGCGGTGATGCTGATTAGCTTCGCTTAAACGAGATTCAAATGCATTGGCAATGTTAACAATATCATTGTTAACATAAAACTTTAGATTATTGCCGAACACATAGTCAATGTGGCCCCAGTCGGAAAATTGATGACGATGTCCCCGGGCGTTGGGCAAAGAATCGATGGTCAGCAGTACATCCTCCACGGATGCCATACCATCGTTTTCGCTATAGTAAAAATCAATGGGGCTCAAAGGGTTTACTTCATTTAGCGGATAGTCTGGTGGATCTGTGGTGCCATAGATGGCGAGATTGTCCCTTTTTCCGAAGTCGAAGAGGGCGAATCGTCCGGAATCGATAAGTTGGACATAATGCTTAATTTGTCGAGTTGAAATACCCGCTGAAGCAGTGGCCGCCATCGCCGGCAATAGTGTCTGGGAAAGATAACTGATATGGTATGATCGATATGATATGATTAGCGGACAGCACGAACCATATTTAAATGTCTTGAAGAACCGCCGGAAATCAGAAAGGCCACATTTCGGCATAATATGTGTCTTAGAAGGAGTACGGTGCACAGGGACGAAAATATTCTGCTCCAAAAGGGAGTATTATACTTCAACTCCATGTCGCCCAGCTGAAGGTAAAAGTTATTTATAGCTTTAAATAGCTTTGATGGCATTTTTCCGCTGAAAGCAACCGGCCCGAGAAGATGGCTCGTCTTCACTTTGATATTATACTCAGGTCGCATCGAGAGCATCGCCAGAAAAGAAGTAGCTCCCTGCGAGTGGCCCACATAGTGGACAGCCGTTTGTCCAGTCATACTCAGTATAAAGTCGATGGAGGTTGTGGTGTCATATATTCCGATTTCGTGCCAGTCGAACTGCCAGAAATCCTTGCTATTAGGGCTAATGGTCAGGTGCTTACGTGAATAGATGTTCCCCCGGCTGTTGATCAGCCAAACGTCATAGCCTTCGTCGGCCAGTAGGAATGGCAGACCTTGGTCTGGTCCGATAATCACCCAGTAGTCAGAGGAGCAAGTCATGCCATGGACGAAAAGGACGGCGGGCTTCGGTCCCGACGTGCTGGGACGGCGAGGAGAGTTCGGAATCCGATAGAGGGCAAGTATGTAACCATCTTGGGTCACCGCCGTATGCTTCTCCACGGGATAGTTGTGCATCCTGATATAGTCGCCCTGGCAGCACAATGCAATCATAAGAACGAAATAGCCAAGACACAGCACTCACCGTATCCTTCAGAGCGACTCCCCCCAATATGTTCACCACAAGAACTATCCACCTTAAGAGGATCTGTGCCATTATACGATTCGATTTCGCTGGGAAATAGTTCGATACTAAATCGATGCAGCGATAAAATATATACGAGTTTTTTTTTGGCATACATTTAAATAGCATTCAAATCAGATGAGATTCAGGTCTTAGTCACGGTTAGATTGAATAAACTCTCTGTAGATGACGTTTGCGGCGTTAACATAGTCAAAATTTTTAATTTCCACGTGATGCGGAGAACAATAATCCTGCGTCCTTCAAACCCATTTAATACCAAGTAACACTTGGAATGTACAAATGTTTAAAGGGACATGCGACAGGGGGGCATTCTTTATTCTGGCAGGGAAGGATGGGAAAATAAACTTGATCTATTTTGTCTTTCTGCTTGCTTGGACGTTGACATGCAATGTCTGCATCTTGCAAGAGGCGATACAATTACTGCACCGTCAAGTGGTCCCCGTCACATCCATCCAAAAAGTATGCAACCAGTATGTATGTACACTCGCCGACACTTGAATACGACACACTAAATCGTACACTTCAGGCACTACTATTTCCGGCACAAGCCAAAGAAAACGGTGTACCTAATTTTCCTCTATATTAGCATAAATTAAAAAAGAAATAGTAGTAATATTCATCAAAGTAGATTGAGGAAAACAGTTTAATTGAAATAACTCAAATTTCCGTTCTTCAAAAATGCGACACATGAATACGACAATCATACGACAAGGTCGCGACCGGACATCGAAAAAATTCTCAAAAAACAATTAGAGTGTCCTTATTATGAGAAAGAAATTTGGGGTATGGTAAGTCCTATTCAAAGGACGGAAAATCGAAAATAAAAACCTCGAAGGAAGTAGGTTAAACTAGGTGTGTTTTAAGTGAACAATAATGTTTTAAAGCTGAAAGTCCTGTCTAGTAGTAATGTTAAACCGAATATCTGAATTGAGTAATATGACTTCCGATCATGGACAGAGAACAATTAACCCATTGTTGACCATAACCCATAACCATAACCATACCCCAGTTCAGTGGAAAGATATCGTAGGGTTCTTTGATGAATCGTCAAGAAGAATTTACAACCAGAACTATTTGTCGCGTTTCCCTCAAGGTGTGCACCCAAATAAATAAAAGGGGCTTAGGTGGGCTAAGTTCGTTTTTTCATCGGTATATTTGCGGTATATTTTGAAATGTAGGCGGTATATTTTTGAGGTATATTTTATCGATAGGTCCAATAAGGACAACTGCTTGCAAGGACAACACAATTTTTTCTCCTTTTGTGCCTCCCAATTAGTGCAGTCTCGTCCCTATTCCAATTGGAGAACTCCTAAGAGCCGTTAGAGTCCCGAATCCAAAATGCATTGGTGGCGTCCCAGCGAATAGATGCCGCTGCAGTAGCCAGACAGTAGCCCACAGCCGAAAATGAACAATTTGGTAAGTGGGTGGTAGTGGTGGTGGCCGTTTGTGTATGTGTAGGCGTGTCTGTGTGGGGTTTCATGGTGTGCGGCCTGTGTATCAATTGTTGCAGGAGCACGTCAAGCACTTCTACCCAGAAAACTATAAATTGGATCTTTCGGAGACGATGAAGGCGGCACTATCCAAGGGTCCCGGCGTCGGGGGCGTGGCCAGTGGGTCATCGCACAGCGACATGCTGCCGCAGCCGAATGCCGGACTTCCCGGCGTGGGCTATGTGACCGAGAAGCTCTACATGCTGCTGCAGCTCTATTTGCAGAACAAGGGCTGGAACCCGAGCGCCGAGCTGCTGCAGTGCTTCAGCGATCTGAAGGACAACGCCATGCTGCCCAGTGCCGCCTATCTGCAGTAAGTGTACAAATGTTGTAAGTTTATATGAATACCCTCCACTGAATCAAGTTCGTCCTCTTCATTAATAGGGTCTTGGCCAATCGACTGACGCTAGACTCACAGGGTCGCCTGATTCTGCGCGATAATGGAAAGATTGTTCTGCCGTTTGAGCATTTCGCCAATGCGGTCATGCTAAAGCACATGTCCGGTCCCCACGGGCTTCATCTAAGTGTGGACGCCACAGTGCGGGCTGTAATCGAGTCCTACACGATTGGGCGGGATCAGTTCGGGATGGAAAAGGAGTTCATTATCGAGGTGGTCCAGTCGTGCCCCAGCCCCGCCTGCCGCTACTACAAGAACCATATGGGCATCTCACCCATGCCATTCATGGAGCAACAGTATCCTGGCGTGAATACGCCCGACTTTTTGCAACGACTCTCCCATCTGCCGCCCAGCAGTGCAGCCGGAGGAAATGCTGCAGCTGGCTCTGCTTCCAGCGCTGCCAGCAGCACCAGCTCAAGCAATGTGGAAATCGACTTATCCAAGTCGACGGGCTCCAAGGTGACACAGGTTCCAGTGCCGCCGCAACTCCAGCATCTGACCAAGCAGCAGCAGAACAGCATCCAGACGCAGCTCTCACAGATCAGTGCTGCCGCCGCACATCATCAACAGCAGCAACAGCAACAACAACAGCAGCAACAGCAGCAGCAGCAACAACAGCAACAACAACAGCAGCAGGCCCAGGCGCAGGCCAAGCACCAGCAACAGCTTACGGCGGCTCTGATACAGCAACAAAATCGAGTGCTCGCCCAGCAGAGCCTTGAGAAGCTAAGCAATTTGAGTCCGCTGGAGAAGCAGCGTGTGTTTGCTCAACTGGATCCTAAGCACTTTGATCCCATGGCCGTGGCCGCAGCAGCAGCCAATTTACAGATCCAGGGACTAATGCAATCGCAGGCAGTGGCCGCTGCCGTGGCCGCAAATCAGCAGCCGACTCCGGCCACCAGCACATCCACGTCCGGGGGCTCCGGTGTCAGTTCACAAACCCATCACCATCCAATGCCACCACCATCGCAGTCGCCGCACTCATCTTCATCGTCTTCCTCGCACTCGTCGCTGGATCAGCTATCACATAAGAATGCAGCAGATTCCTTGCGGTTAGTTTAGATTTTTGGCATTTATTAGTTCTTAGTGCGAGTTTTTCTCCTTGCAGCTCAAATCTTGATTCGATTGAGTCGAACAAAGATCTACTGGCCCTGCACAACGGGGCCTGGGCCACCAGTGATGCCAATCGCTTGGACCACATGGCTGTTGGCCAGGA